TTTATCCAATCTATAAAAAACAGAGAAGCCCTTTTGTGTCATTCTATTAAGAAGAAATATTCAATCAACAATTTTCGAGGCTTTAAACTAAAAATTAACAAGAAAATTTATAATAAATTTTTTTTTGAAATAAATTTTAGAGTTAAAGATTGACATTAAATTAATGAAAAAGCCAAGTCACAACTTTTTAACAAAAAAAAAAAAAAAACATGAGAAGAATTTAATATTTGACAGCCGGATGCAAGTAACAAAATAACTTAATACAACATTACATGACAAAAATACTAAAGTTACAAAATATAATTTAAGTATAAAATAATTCAAAATATATTGAATAAAATAAATAAAAACATCTTTAAGATAATGAGTTCTAACATACTTTATGATTTATGTTTTATTATTCAACGAAAATTAACAAAAAAGAATGGCCACAATCTCACAAGAAAAATAAATTAAAGCTTGTTAGTGAATGTTTGTTGCTCAACCTCTTTGCAAATTAGAGCAAGCACATGAAATGATAAGAAAAAATGTGGGGAAAAACATTATGCATCCATTATTTATGCATAAAAAGAGAAAAAAAAGGCTTTCTAAAAAAATAGAAAAAGCATATAATGAGCAATAATTGACATAGAAGAAATAGAACCATCCCAATAATTAAATAGAATCCTTATTGTCCAAACTATGAATCAATAAAAAGCATGCAGAAAAGTATATGAATAAAGAAACCCATTACAAACCCTAAATGGCTAAACCATAATTCTAATTGTCAATAGTAGCCACAGCCAAAACCTTTTCAACTTGCATTTATCTGATATATGGAGTATAGCAACGTGAAAAAAAAAAAGGGAAAAAAAAAGGTACTATAAACTCTATTTGTAGATAGTTTTTATGGATCCATCTAGTGGAGTGATAATATGATAATATTTTCTTAAAAAAAAGGTCTCATTTTATTTATATGAATCGGTGGAAGCTATATATACATATTTTAGAGATAATTATTTGATTATTTTGGGGCATTCACATACATGTTGCATAATTTTTATCTATTTACATTTCTAACATCTAGACATTCACATTTACATGCATAAAACTCAAATTTTTAACATTACATAAAAATACCAAAATTACTAGCTTTTTAGAAGTGGATGCATGTTTTTATGCTTAAGTGTCCAACACCAAGTTATTTTAAATGTATATATCTTATGTATCTCGGGATGTATGTAGATTTACACTACTTAGGTTAGATTTGGGACGATAGATAGAAGTAGAGGATGATTAACTCTCGAAGTGGTTTTAAAAGTGGCAAAATAAAGCAAAATGACTTACATGGACTATAATATGGCATTGTATCCCTCGATGTAGCCCATTACGTCATTGAAATATTAGATTGAATGATGAGAACTCATTTGTCTTTATGAATAAACATAAGTGATGGATTTGTCAAATTAAGTTGAGCTAATAGATTCATCGTGTTGCTAATGTGTACTTCTTCCTGAATATATTCAAAACATTCCTCATTTTATCCTATTTTAACAGCAGTTAGATGACAACTGATTTTTGGCAGTTAGTAGTGAATCTTGGCCCCATTCAGTATGTTGATATCCTTGTTGATATGGTGTGACAATTTCTTTATATACAATATCAAACTTTAGATGTTTGATATCAAATTATATAGAAGTTGTGCGGCATATATGTAGATATTAATTTTATATTTAATTTGAATTTATTAGGGGAATGAAACTATACTCAAATCACGAAGTGGTGACTATTGTGTTACTTTTAATTATCATGATTCATAGATGCTTAAATTTATATTTTTTAGTATTGAATTTATTTTTAAAAGCTCATAAATGTTTTTAAACATTTAAATAAATAATACATATGATTGAATACAAACTTTTTAAGAGAATTGAATGGTTAAAAAATGTATCATTTTTTGAAATGGCAAATGTTTAAGTCCAAATTTTAATTAAAACAAGAGGGAAGTTTCGCTTGGACAAACAAGCAAGGTAAGAGCTGCCAAGGTCAATGCATTGGACAATAGCTCACCACAAAATTCTAATCACCAAGATCTCAAAAGCCTAACACATTGGCTAAGAACCTAAAAAACTTTGTGACTAATTATTCAAATGTAAGGAAGATGAAAAAAGATATAACTTTAGTTTAGAGAGTCAAAGGTAAAGCAAGGCTTAAAACTCATATAGTATATAAAAATTTTTGCCGAATGCTACTTCTACCTAGAACCCGTTATTTGTTATAAAAGATTTATCTATTCATAGCTTGCTAATTCGACATGGTGTGTTTTCATCACCATTCAAAAACTATAGATAAGCGTATTATGTGATTGTGCATGTGAATTTTGTTTCGACAAGTGTGAGGTTACTCAAGCCTTATAAAGGTTTCAAACGAGTGAGCTTTCCATAGCCATAGCCATAGCCATGTCCAAGCAAAAATTCTTAATTTTGAGTTCAATTAAGCAAAGTCATCAAGTTTCACTAAACTAGATTATGGTACTCAATTAGGAGCCACCAAAGCATGATTACTTGCTCAACTCATTTATGAAACCCAATCTCTAAAGCTGACTTTTACAAATCTTTCATCCCACTCAGGATAACTATTTGCCAGGTGAAGTTAAAAAAGTGACTTTATCAGAGCACACTATTTATTTGAAAACTACTAATACATTGAAGCATGTTATTTATTTACTAATTATTTTTAAATACAGTCTTTACTATTAAAAATTCAAAGTTTATTCTTATCTGTAAATAGTGTTATGCTACATAAAATCTTTGGCATATGACTTGTCCATTTGACAATAAAAATTATCTCAAAGCGATTACACACACACACACACTCTCCCTCCCATTCTCTTATTGCTTAGTTATTCTTATCAATAAAATTTTGATGTTATGCATGACAATATTAGATTCAATATGAAAATAAAATAAATCCAAAGTTACAATTGAACATCACCATGTCATAACACTATAAAAATCATTCACAGTATAAATATTATAAATCCCGTTGATTAAGAACTGATTGTGATAACTAGAAGTAAATGATATCTCCCAAATTTTGGAGTATAAAATGTCAAAATAAAGATTGCTCTCATAATGACACCTTGGAAATGATAAGACATGCAAATAAGATTAATACATATCCAGCAAATCTCTAACTTCGTACACGAATCTCTGAGGCATGACATAGATCTCGAGCCGGCTTTTTAAGCAGGAAATATTCAAATCTCGTTAAAAGCTTATCTAAAATCTGATTTCAACAAACTTACAATCAAACTGATTGGCTCAATAAGAAGAAACCCAATGTTATCAAAACTAGTCCAATCTGAGTTAAATGAAACTCGAATCAAGTGATTAAACCACACTTGAAAGTTTTCCAGACATATTTAGAAGTTTAAAGGAGTGTCGAATATACAAAACCTATAGTCGAATCGAGCGTCTCGACAAGACGAATCCAATGAGCCCAAAATTTCTCAATTTCGACATTGTTAATGTACTTAAATGTCCATCAAACGTTGTTTGATCGAAAGAAGCCCTTCGGACTGTTCGATTAATGTGCTTCATATTTGTGCATTAATTGCACTCAAAACACTATAAATAGAGTCTCACCTATCCCATAAAAGGAAGCTGAAGTCTTGAGAGAGAACTTGAAGCTTTGAGAAACAGCTTAAGTCCAACACCACATCTATCACCGTTGATCGCCGACGGCCGCCGTTGACCTGCGACAAGTTTTCTAGCACGCATCAAAGATAGACAAGAAGCTAAACTAAATAAACAATGCAGGGGTAATAAAATGCTGAGTAAGGGATCTATAGCCTAAATAAAAAGGCGAACTCAAGAATATGAGGAATGAGCTCTTGTGACTTGGCACTGAATAATTGCTACTTTGTACTTGATAGTCTATAACCATCTGCTTAGAAAATCTAAATTTAAAATAAGAAAATTTCGCATAGACAGCACCCAATTCTTTTGCATTTACATTTCTCACACTCAAATTTTAATTTTTGCACCCTAAGCACCCTAACCAATATATGAAAAGGTAAATTATACTATTTTCATCTTTTCATACGTAAGAGAAGATGCTCTATATGTAAAAATTAAACTTTACGTGTGAGATAAATAAATACATAGAATTGGTCGCTCAGTATGTTGATTCTCCTTTAAAATATCCAATGAAAAACATATGAAATTTTGCTCTTATTTGATTAATTAGAATACTTTCCGCTTTATTTTGTTGCCTTAAGAACTTCCGATCGATCAACCGGTCTTATATTTCAGACTTGCAATTGAATCGAAGACTGATTTATCTTTCTCTGCCTTACTAATCATCCATTTTCATCCTCAACTTTTTAATAATCAGAATACAAAACCCGTACAGGATTATAAAGTAATACGAGTTTTACATAAATACCACTCAATTCTTAAAATAATAAAATTAGGTTTTTTTTTATCTTGTCTTTCCCCGCTATTTGTAGGGGTGTAAACGAACCGAACACAAACGAACGGAGCTTGTGTTCGTGTTCGGTTTGTTTGAAATTTAGTTCTTGTTCTTTTTTTAACGACCGAGCCGAACATGAGCTGCTCGCGAACGACGAGTCTGTTTGACATCCTTAATATTAATATATATAAATAATATATTATATTAATTGTATAACTTATATTATATAAATATACAATATCTATATTAGTATATTACTAATATAGTATATTAATATATTATTATTATTAATTTATTATATATTATAATTTATAAAATTTAATTTTTAAAATATCATAATTTTTTATATATAATTATTTTAAATTATTTTATATTTCGAAGAATAACGGTTCAAATACAAACGAATGCATTACTGTTCGTATTTGATTCATTTAATTAACCGAACGAAAAAAATTTATTCACATTGTCTTGTTTACTTAAATAGTGAAATATGTAGTCATTGATGAACCCACCATGAACTGTTTATTTTTTTTTTTTTAACAGCCGTGGCTATTTGGACGGGTCCGATTCCGCAAGGAGAGGGAGCGGATTTACGAGCCACTGTAGCAGCTATATCCAGTTCCACATATCGAGATCTTTTTAATCCCTTCAATCCGTGATCTCTCTCGTACTAACAATTCCGCGGAATCTAGAGCCGGAGCCCGGCCACCGTCTCCAGCCGTAAAACATCGAGCTTCTTGTTCTCCGCGCGGATCTGATCTGATTCTATCGGGCATGATTCGAATGCAGACGAAGTCGTCGCCGGTGGTGGTGTTTGAGTCTACAAAAGATTCGAAGGAAATGATTATGGAGGACGAGCCGGCGAAGTGGGAGGTTCGGCCGTGCGGAATGCTCGTGCAGAAACGGAGCACCGAGGATGGCCGAGCCGCTGTACCGGTACCTGCCATTCGCCTGCGGGTTAAGCACGGCTCCAACTATCATGAGGTCTACATTAACTCACAGGCCAACTTCGGTAATGGCTCGTATTTTGTTTTCCGTTCACTGGGATTGAAAATTTTGTATTTTCTGTGTTTTTTTTAATGGAGCTCACGGGCTTAATTTGGTTTGGTTTCGAGGAGCAGGGGAGTTGAGAAAAGTGCTTGCAGAGAGAACAGGATTGCATCCTCAGGACCAGAAGATATTTTTCAAGGACAAGGAGCGCGACTCAGCTGCCTTTCTCGATATGTCGGGGGTGAAAGACCGGTCAAAGCTCGTCGTCGTGGAGGACCCGGCGGCGAAGGCGAAGCGGGTGCTCGAAATGCGCCGTGCTGCGAAGTTAGAGAAGGCCGTCAAATCCATCTCTCAGATCAGTCTCGAGGTCGACAAGTTTGTTTCCCAGGTTCGTCATTTCGTCGAACACCTTATGTTCTTTCTCTTATTATCCCAATTAGGTTCATCCTTGATATCTCTTTACAGGTGTCGGCACTGGAAGGTGTGGTTTTGAAAGGAGGGAAAGTGGCGGATAACGAATTTCTGAGACTCACCGAGCTGTTGATGAACGAGCTGCTCAAATTGGAAGGGATTGTAGCCGACGGGGATGCCCATTTACAGAGAAGAATACAGGTATCAATTCAAAATCCGTTCTTTGGACGATTTCTTTAACGTTTATTCTATTGTCCATATTCAGTAGCTCTTTGGTGCTTTCTGGTTCCTGTTAGGTTAAGAGAGTTCAGAAATACGTTGAAACGCTGGACATGCTCAAGCTTAAGAACGCGGTGCCCAAATCGTCTTCCCTGCCGCCTCAGAAGGCTCAGAAGAAAGCACCGCCGTCATCCCCAAAGCCAAAATCTGTGATCGTGACAACAAAGTGGGAAACATTCGACTCCCTCTTCTCTCCCCTCCCCTCTCCATCTTCGTTAACCACCACCACCTCAGTTGCGCCTACCCCAAGACTTGACTGGGAGCTATTCTGATTGCATGATACATTATACGTCAGTTGAAATTTGCACGGGGTGCTTTGCGCCGGCCGGCAGCCAGCCATGGTTTCAGGTGAGTAGAACACGGATGTACGTGTTTTGGCCATCGCTCATTATTGCGCTTGTTTGATTTCTTCTGCGTTCCTCATTCTACGTGTTAGATCTCATCAATTTTACACCCCCCACACGCCCCCACCCCCGTCCCCCTCCTTTTTTTTGTCCTTTTCTTCCAGCCATTGTTAAAACCAGTGCTTTTATTCTTTTACATACGTGAATGTGTAGATCTTGGGATGGACCCAAGTCTATGTAATAGTAATAAATTGTGTTTAAATATAATGATTCACTAGTGGCACTAAAAATTCATTCTTCCTTTGTCTTATGGTTGGAATTCTATCTTATCTTACTTGTTTTTCTAGTTATGGTAGTAGTTGTACACAATTGGGTTTGGTATGCAAACCACTATTGTAGACTTCAAATTTACCAAACTACCAGAATTGAAGCCATGTGGAGTGGAAGGCAAGTTTGGACCAACTTTAGCTTTACAGATGTGTTAATACTTTGCTTCTTATTCTTCCATGTGGGGTGGGTGGAAATTAGGGTTTGGAATGTGAGCTCAATCCCATGGGACCTCTTGGCTTCAACTTAGTTCATCATACACAAGAAAAGTTGTGTTCTTAGAGGAAAATTTTTAATTTTTATTTGGAGTTGAAATGAAAAATTCAATTTTGTGGGTAACATTATGAGATTAATAGAATTTATTTATTGTTTATAATAATATGAATTGAGAATATTATTGTTAAATAGGGATGTTGGCTTGAAGTCCAGTGAGGGATGAGCTGTTTGTTTCATAAGCTTACTTAAGCTCCTTCACAAAGCCAATTTGAAGCTGAAATGGTTGGTGGCCTGGCTGGCTGTTGGCCTTGAGTCGCTTTCATTATTGACTTGTGCTTCATCTGGTGGCTTAGAAAGACTGGAATGTGTAGGGTTTCTCATTTGAAGCTGGGATTTTCTTTTTATGTATATATGTATATATTTCCCAGGTTAACTACCACATGTTTTAGTACTAACAAATTATAGAGGCAAATACATACACAAACTTTATTTTTTACATTTATACCACTCAAGTCTTTCATATAACATAGCAATTACCACTATTTTTACTCTTAAAAAGTGAAATATATCTGGTATATATGTAAAAATTACAGTTTAGGTGTTAGATATGTAAATTCATAAGCATTGAATGGTATGTATGCTAATCTTATTAAATTTGATGAGCATTTTAACTGTTTTTCTTATTTCTGATGGTCAAGTTCAGAGTTCAGCAAAATTATTTTTGATTTCGCCAACATCCAACAACTCTTACGATATGACATTTTTTTTATATTTTTTTGCTATGCAGAAGATTATTTTTAAGAGGAAGTAAATATATTTTAAATAATTGGGTGTAATTGAAATGGTTTTTATTAATTTTGCTCTTAAAATCCAACTTTCTGAAGATATATTCCTTATCTCCCCCTATCAGTCCTTTTATGTGAACATGGTTTCCTAAATTTTTTGCTCTTCTTAATGAAAGACTCGAGGTCTATTTGGGGCAGTTGCAGTTTATTAAATAATCTGCTGATAAGCTAGGTGCGATGACTATTACAAATTTTTATTTTTTTGAAAAAACCAGCCCGCTGCCAAAAAGTTATCACCGCTGCCAGAAAGTTACCACCGCATCTAGATATGTGCGTTGTGAAAACGTTGTTTTCGGCATTTTTGAAAACGCATAAGCTGTCAAAACGCAGTTTACCCAAATAGGTTAGGTGTATTTTCAAAATGCCACTGCACCAAATAAGCCGCCTTGAGGAGATTTATAGTAAAAAAAATTATCTATAACTACGACAGAATTTAATAATTATTTTTTCATTCTTTACATTTATTAACATTTAATCTTGAGGAATGTATAGTTCTCTTATTTAAATGAAATAATTTATTTTTGGTTATTGGAATTGGCTTGATTGGTTGACTCTAGGTCAATGCATCTCTATGGCTGGAATCTGACATTGCTTGCTGTGATGCCTATTATTGTGTAGTCATGGTAAAAGATTATTTCTCTACGTTATAAATTGGAAGAGTAGATTTAAATATTTGTCGGTCAACATTTAATTTAATAAAAAATAAAGAAGTTAATTGTTGAATCAAGATTGTGTGATTCATGTGAATCACTCTCAAAAATTAAATAGAATGTAAATGAGAAGAGACAGAGACGAAGAGTAGTAAATAGTAATGTTTTTCTTCCTTAAAAGTATCCCTTATTTATAGAGGATGCAGTAACAATACATTTTACTATTATATGGAGAGGGTATGTACTAAGATATTTTTGATATTTTACGAGAGATGAGTTATCGTCTGACTGCCTTTTGGCTTAACTAATAAAGTTTAATTGAACTGGCTCGACTGGATCAGCTCAGTTGGTAGGGTTCAATCAGTTGATTCAGCTTGTTGATTATCTTCTATCTCTGGTATGAAGTTTTTGGGTCAATGTTAAATAGTCGAAGATACTTTATGAAACTGACTCTTCTATTGGGTCAGCTACACCGTGGAATAGGCTACTTTGCTAGTTGGCTTTCCTGCAATCAATGGTTCAGACGCTCTCTTGTCTTCTTTCCTGTTGAATGGCTTTAAGCTTGAATCATTCGGTCGCCTTCTTGTCCACCTGTTGGTTCGGCCAGTTGTGGCCTTATGAGCTTGGCTAGTCTGGTTTGGTGGTATTTTGATTCGATAAATTTGTCCTATGTTTGTATAAAATTTAGCTGTTAATATTGTTTTTTTTTTAATCATCTCAAGATTTAATTTTGGCCACATACAATGTCAAAGCATTTTTTAAGGTACATTTACGAACATGATACAAACCACCTAATTCCTTTTATCTACAGATCTAACACCTATTTTTTATTATTTTTGCATTTATACGTATCACATAAAAAAACATTGTCATTTTTTAATTTAAAAAATAAAATACATCCTTTTGTGGTATGTATGTAAAAAATAAATTTTAGTGTTAGATATATAAAAATGCTTATGAATTGAGTGTTATTTTTGTAAATCTTTCTTTTTCTTGCGTAAAAGTTTCAGTATAGTGTTGAATTCTAAATTGTCTTTTGTGAACATGCCCCGAGATTCTAAGATTAAGTGAAAGAAGAAAGAGAGAAAATATAGTAAGTCAGGAGTTTTTTTGTAGAAAAAGTCGGTGAAAAGTCCTTGTATTCGTATTTTTATCTCCTATTTATAGATGTGTGCTTTGTACAATTACATAAAGGAATGAGTAATTATGGAAGCCTCACTTAATATAATTGATGTTATGATTAATCGTATGGATTTATTTTCATATATGTATTGCAATTTGAGTTTCAACATGGAGGTAATTGCTGTCCCACTTGCTTGAATTCAGCCGACTGAGTGTTGATCGCGCCATGAGTTGGTCGGTTGTAGCACCCGGTTGAGTGTCAATCTCGTTCGTCATGGTAAAGGCAGACCGATCGCTTAGCCATGATCAAAGATTCTCTCTTGTGCCCCCATCAGTTGAGACTGTCAATGTGATCTGTCTTTTGAATCTCTCACAATGGTGTCTCGATCGATTTGTAGTCACATGGTTGACAGAAGGGTGGTAGGGCTCCTTGATTGTCTGGCTGTCATCTTGGTCGTTCGAATGCTTTAAAATTTATGCTGAAAGTTGTGGTGTATATATATAGATATATATATTTATTTACATTATTTTAAATTTAGAATAGACATTAAACATTAGAAGTCAACGTCTTATTTTTTTACTTATATGCAAAATATCATCTACATATAGAGCACCCGAAACATTAATACTTACAAACCGAGCACTCAAGTGATTTTTTTAAACTATGAAATCATTGGTACATTTACAAAGTACTTTGATTAAAACATTGATAATTTGATAAAAATGAAATCATATATAAGTTAGGGTTTTATCATGAAATTTGATATTTTAGCAAACATTTAAAAACAATTGAAAAAAAGTGCTTGATTTCTAAATCAAAATTATTTTGCAATTGCCCCAATAATTTTTTTTTAATTTAATGAGAGTAAAACTCAGGTTTCCTCTTAAACCGTGGGCTTTCTTAAAGGTATCTATCTATTTGGTCAAATGTGATAAACATGCTGTGCTTTTGCAATAAATGTTGATTTAATTAATCATTTGAACTAAGCCAGCTTCCATCGTACCCTTTCTTGAGATTTCCTTGTTATTATTATTATTATTGAGGAGTCACGTGATGTTGCAGGAATTCTTTGCTCATTCCAAAATGGCAGCTAATGTTAATGTAGCTTAGATTATATAAAATCAGCTCATGCGTGATGGCTGCTACTCTGTTGACCCTTCAATGCTCGGTGATCAAAGTCTTATTAACGAATAATAAATATTTATTAGGGTGTGTTTCTTGTGGTGGGATAGTAGCTTCGATCAAGTCTATAAAACAATAATGGATAACATTTCTTTTATTATTGAGGAAAAAAATGTATCATGATACTTTGATATAAATTTCATGAAGATGTGCCTACAAATTTTTCAGTGTAGTGCAATATTTTTTTTTTAATATGTAATTGTATAGAGAAAAAGTACTGACATGAATCTCACGGAGATCTAACGACATAGACAAGACGGGTTGTGTCAACAGAGAGCTCGCTAATAGGAGAATTGAGCGTCCATGCGTTCAGTCAAAAACATCGAGACCAAAATTAACCAAAGGCAACCAAACGTCCCAATCCGAAGTTGTTTGATCGGTTGTCAAATATAGAGGAATCCAGGACATCCCCGCAATGGAACCAACCCAAGGGGAAAAGCTAATCCCTCGGGTCTTACGATTCCCTATGAAGTATTTATTAGCCTCCCCGAGCATCATCAAGAGTCGATGTGATGATCTCAATCATCTCTCAAGATCTATTTGTCCAAAGGCAACTACTTATTGGATTACATTGATTCACACTCTGCTCGATAGCTTAGCTCCGACCAGTCGACGAGAGCACCTTTTTAGGGATTGAGGATCTATGGTCAGACTTGATCAATCGATCAACTTCACTTCGTTGACCAAGTCAACCTTGTCAGCCTTTTATCAAAAAGAATCCAAATAACCAGTAACATCAAACCTAGCCTATCGACAATTTTACTAGACAGATCAAGCAAATCGACAGGCCTCTCTACCTTAGTTGACTAGTAGCGCCTGCCAAAGGCTCGCCAATTTAACCAGCCAAGTTGGGCCCATATATATAAATTACTTGTAATAACCTATAGGTCTCCCATTAAAGTAGGGGTACATAAGTAAATTCACACATTGTACCTCTTTCATCTATGAACAAGGG